TTGTCTGGGAGGATAAAAGCACTGACTTGTACATCGGCTGGCCACCGCCAGTCATTGTAAGGGCCACATACGCACTCATTACGCCACTGCGATTCTGAATGGAAGTCGAGTGCGGGGGCGCATCCCTCAAACGGGATTGATTAACGCCAAATACTTTATCCTTTAACTTTAACAATGGCGTACCTGAAGATTAGAGCGTAAATGGTGACAGTAAGAACAGCAAATTGCACCATCCCCCAACGCATAGTTGGGACCTGAAAACTGTTATCAGAAAGGGAGTCTTAGAGCCTAGCATTGAAATAAAACGGTCATGAGAGAAGTCTTTCAAAAATGACAAAAGGAAAATCACAGATCGTCATTTAAATGGGTTGAGCTTCATGAGCAACTTGAATGACGCAGAATCTAGTTACTCATGAAGCTCAACCCGTTTGAACGACAAGGATCGCTTGACGATCAAAAATGATTTGCTCACATCTTCGTAGAGATGGGAATATTTGTGCAGTACTCGCCGTAAGAACTCGAAAATTCACTCAAATACCGCAAATTCGCTTCTTTTTCGTCTTTTCTCCATAAATCGCTTCAAAATGGAGTAAACGAGAAGCTAACAGTACCTTTGAACTCAGCTCACGACTTCTATAAGCTGATACCTCTATAGGCTTCCCGCCACTACAGTACCCACCCACCTGCGAATCCAGCTCCCCATTCAAGTAGTCATCATTCAAAACTGTCTTCTGTTCCGCCAATACGGAACCCGCAGCCCATATATCATTCTACAGCATTTTTCACGGGGAATCCATCAGTGTGCAACTTACCTGCAAAAAGCGAATGGAAAGGGAAAAAAGATAATTTAATGATCTTGGCCTGGCGAAGTTCGAAGTTTGGGACCATACCAAGGGAGAAATTTTGATCTATGATAAGGTGTACCAGAGCAGCCTTGTAGAGAACAGAGAGTTGTCTACGAGAGTAAAGCGCCTCAATGTCACCTCCTCAGATTTCGTAAATAAGTCCCTCCAAAATCAAAAAAGTCGAAAAAGTGACTCAATTGTTTTGCCGTGGAATGGTGTCATATTCTCAAATGGAACCTGTAAGAAGGAGTGTTGAGTGCAGAAGCTGTAGATGCGTCATCTAGAACCTCCACATCAGAAATGAACGATGGAGACTGAGCAAAACCTATCATTTCCTTAATGTACTGAGTAAACTTGGGTATGTGGCGCAATCCGAGGCGAATTCTCAACCCATAATCCTCAAGGACCAACCAGCACCTACAGGCACTAGAGCGTGCACTACATGTACATTAAATTACCTTTCGGATGGAACTCAAGTACGTGGCGCAGCCCAACAACGAAGCATTTCTGATACTTGTGAGTATCAGAGCTTGGCGAGCTGCGTTCAACGGTATCTTTAGCTCCTTAGCATTTTGAAGTGATTTACGGAGAGAAGACGAAAAGACGTTAGTTCACGGTATTCGCGTAAATTTTCGAGTTCTTATGGCGAGTACAGTATGCGTTCGACAAGGTTCACAGCAATTCTAGAAGATGGCAGGCACGAAAGAGTCCGAAGTAGCAGAAACTTGAAACCATATCAGTCGGCGAAATGCTACACGAAAAGCGCCAAATACTCTTTCAGCCTACCACCCGAGACCGTGCCAACGAAAAGGAGCCGTAGAGGCGAAAGAATCGGAGGTATCGTCCAGGTCGAATCTACTGAATACTGGACAAACTGAATTTGAGATAGTAACAGCATTCATAGGTGCCCACGTAACCCCTGGGATGGGATGTGGTGGACCTTGAGGATTTGTGGGGCTCAAGTTGGCTAATGCGAAAGTAGTACCACTTGCAGCTGATCGCATCAACTGCTGTAAGACGACATCGTGAAGCTTTTATTCTTACCAACAAACTGCCATGTATGTAAAAGAGTATGACTCACAAGTGCACTCCTGAGAGAATCTATTCTTCTCTCGAGAATCTGGCCTTCATTTAGGGCGAGAGATTTTTTGATAATAATCTTCAGTCCTTCCTTCTGAAACAGTCGATCTGCATATCAATCAGTGGGCAGCATCATATGGGAGGCAAAAGCGATGGAGCACTTCAAGAAGCTGTTCATNCAATCAGTGGGAAGCATCATATGGGATGCAAAAGCGATGGAGCACTTTAAGAAGCTGTTCATGTCGAATACAAAGTACATACCAAATGTGTATAGTAATACCAGGAGTTGTTTGTGTTCACATTACAATGTGTTGTGTTATGTTTCTTTTATATTATTCTGAAATTTAATCGAATTTCTTAAAGAAGAGTGTTTGAAGAAGTGTTTCACGGAAAGAATCAAGAGCACATTCAGCAAGACGCCACATGGAAGAGGGCGAATACACAATACGCTCAGTGTGGTTGCGTTCGGAATATTATGCCTTCCATACATACTAGGGAAAAAACCATCCCGAGTCTGCTGGTAGACCTCGTATGAATTGTCAGTAGGCTCGAAATGTTTGTTTTCAAGACTGCATTGAAAGTTTCAGCTAACCAGCAATTCTTGGATAAATAAGTTCTGGTCGTTTCTTGAAGAAAATTTCGATTCAACAAAATGTTTTTGAGGAGATGTTGTGACTGATGCTTTTCGAGGATGCGTTGTCGTCGACGTTATGAGCGGAACTACGGTTCCAATGTCTTTTCCCCTCGAGCTTGAAATTTAGCCTTGACATGGATTTGCTCTCTTTAGTGTTCCTTCACCATTAAAGACTTCTTTCAATTATCAAAACGATCACAAACAGAAGTTCAGTTCTGTACAGGGAAAAATGACTTTTTAAATGATTTCCGTCCATGTCAGAGAAAGTATTAGAAAGATAAGTATCGTGTTAGAGAGAGAGGCCGTCGTTAGCCTCGGTCTCATTCGACGTGGCTTGGGAGCTGCACAACTCGTCCAGATGATTCCCCCATCTGACCAGGCTAATCGTCCAATCCGCTGCCGGTCCAGCTGGCGTATGTGGACTTATGTGCGTCCGAGGATGCGGGCGGCAAATTGCGAAGCGAAAATCGTAACGATTTGAACGACTTTAGCGTCTATCATTGGGGTCCAAATTTGAAGTAGAGTAGACTAGAAGGATCATCTGACACTACTAAACTACTCTACTTCGAGTTAGTGCCCCGAAAATTGGCTTCAGATTCTTACAAATCGTCGCGAACTTCGCCGCGCAATTTGCCGCGCGCGTCCTCGGACGCACGTAGTGCACGTCCCCCGTTTTTCACTTCAGTAAGCCCGCATATTGCAAGAAAGCCTACTTGTGCAACAAATTAATAGCGAATGGAGTTAATTTGATAGATTATTTCACCCTGTATGAGCGAATTATTTCTGTTCACAACTATGACAACAGGCTAGCTTCGATAGAAAGTTTTATCCGGTTGATTCGATTTTGAGCGAATAGTTGTCTTCAAGATTCCAGCAGCGAACTGAAATTTGGTTGTTTGCCAAATATCATGTCGGATCGCAAATGAAGCAGTATAGTGAGGAGACAAGTGGCGTACTAGTAAAAAGAGGATAAGGGTTGAGCTGCACACTTTGAACTCAAAACAGGTTGTAATATTGCACCAGAACATCAGACAACAGAATACCTGGAAGCAGGACTAATAGTTCATTTTATTAATCAGGCCAGGGAATTAGTTCGAGGGTTTTTACAATTATTTTCATTCAAGGAAGATTATTATAAATACCAATCTTTTTATCCATTACGTGACCCTTAACGACTTTAGCGGTGACTTTTCCCACTGAACAAGTCGCCGATGCCGTTCAAAAAGCCCCTTCTGGTATCGAAGTAGATGTCGGATCAGTTTTCGAATTCTTTTCGTTGAAAAAGACAAACTAAAAGTAGTTTCACTGAGATGCCGACCAAAACACTTGTGTAGAGCACAAGTTGCTCCATCGAATAAACAGTAAACATGTGTCGCCGAATTCCGCCTACTTAGGTATTAGCAATCAGGTAGGATTTCAAGGTTAAACTCTGGATAGTAAGATAGAGAAAATGCAAGTTTAACCTCACCTAACCAATCCGGAGTTTTGTATATGTAAATTCTGCGATCTTGGGAACTCTGCGAAAAAACAAAGTATATCGTATTCTTCCTATCAGCACAAACATCATGTACTATTTTCTATCTATAATATACATATGACTCATACGCTAACTTCCAGCGTTTCCTGCGAGTAGGTGCAGACCTGGCCATCTTGGAATGGTCCATCGCAGGTCTTCTCGCGACTCTGAATATGAATGAAGCATATTCTTAAACGAATCATGAAAAAGATTAATGAGAGATACGTACCGTGTCCGTGCACAAGGCTGGAAAGGTTGTGGTGTCCGTAACACAACATCTATGTAGCTGCGGAAAAATCTCAAACCCCAGCCTATGTTTTCTGAATAATGCGTCAATGCAAGTTGCTACCAAGACCCCACAGCCTTTCAGTCCCTTGTGACAATATTCACATCCAGGAAACAGGTGCGGAAGCAACGTTCAACTTGGTGAAATTGCCCGAGTACTCGGAGGAACTACCTTATATGGTGGAGGGTTAAAAACACTATTTGATCGTAAATGTGTTGCATAGTGTTACCTTTTGGAAACTTGCGCCTATCTGGCTCTTGGCGATGTTCGCAACATTCCTAGCTATGTGAGCTGTAAGAGAAGCTCGTTCAAGGATTGAAGTCCAAGGAGTAAATTACTTCTCAAAATGTTACAACAAGAATGTCCATTTGCAGAAAAGCATCGAGGACGCGATGAGGAACCGGTAAGTATTAATGCAACCATACCAAAACCAGTCGGAACATTAAGTCTGTACGTTAACTGCCCTTTATCTCTGATCTATTACGAACCTGATCGGTTTGAAAAGGGTATCTCTCACTCGACTTGTAGCTAGAGTATACTCATTTTAAAAGGGAAATGATCACAGAGATGACTACGGAGATCAACTTTATCGTTCTGAGTCATGCAATTGAAAGTTGATCCATTGAGATGCTTCTTGAAATTCACCGCTCTTTATTCTAAGTCTTCGGAGAATAACGGATAAAGTTCCCCTCATTTTCTACCTTTCTCCTTGCTGATATTCCACCAACATTTCAGGCCTGTGGTCAGCTTCTTTTCTCTATTTTAATGGTATTTAGAACTTTTCCTTGCAAAATAGTCTTTAATTTGATCCACCACTCTCTTCCTCTCCTAAGGAATCGACTATAAATAATACAGGACGGAATAGAAAACAGAAAAATTCACAG